CTGCTGAGTCTTGACCTGTAGAATTTCCTCTCCTATGTTGGGCCATTCATTTGTTGAGAAGATGTTTTAAATTCCTCAATACAGTTCACTACATTTACCAAGTTAATTTGTTTGTGTTTGGGTGTTGAATCTTTAGGATATACAAGCTTCTCTCTCAAGATGTTGATGGCCTTGAATTGCACAGGAACGCAATGCTTGTTGAACATTTTTCTGAGTTTTTTTTTACACTCCAGCTATGGCAACACTATGTATATTACTCAGCGTGTTCTGCTTCTCCCCTTTGTTTGATTGTCCTGTGTTTTTACTTGACCTTGTAGATGTTTTAAGAAAAGTCCAGTCTGGGTAGCCACAAACTTTCAAAGCACTTCTGACATCTCTTTGTCCTTTGTTGATTTACTAAACCTGGAGAGTGATAAATCTGGTGCAGCTGTGCATGGTAGCCAATCAGCGTCTAACTTTAGCATGTTTAATTAAGCTTTGACAATAAAACCTGGAAGCTGATTGGTTTCTATGGAGAGCTGAACCAAATTTTGCAATCTCCAATTTTAGGGTGTGTTTGATGTTGCCATCTAATTCCTTTTCACCTATATACTAAGCACAGAGGCTATTGAAACTGTAAAGTAACATCTAAAATGAGATAAGACTCATCAGTAGAACAGAACTGAAGCCAGCTTAGGTATGTTCCTTGCTGGACCTGTGTCTCAACATATATTTCAAGTGCATGGATAACTTCTACAGACAGAAACTTGGTTTGGATATAGTATCACCTGTATCTGTAATTGTAGCTTACCCATACATGGAAGGGGTGGAGAAGACCGCTTGAGCTCTTTCAGGGAAAACACCAAATAATTGGTTCAAGTATGTGGATGACACAATGGTCAAGATTGAAACATCAGAAGCGCAAGCTTTCAGTAAACACAGGGGACATATACTTCAGGTTTACATGTGAGGAGACACTGAAAAACAAATTATTTATTGGACTGCATGTTACCTATGAAGGATGGGGAGGGGTAATTTGGACATTGATGTCTATCATTAGGACTTTGAAATATTGGGTGAGGATGATAACAACAAACATAGACTTTATAGAAAAAGAACACAAACATGTCAGGAGCTCTATTTTTGCTACCCAGACTGGGCTTTCACTAAAACATTCAAAGAGTCCAACAAAAACCAGGACCATTGAACAGAGAGGAGAATCAGAAAACAGAGAGAACATAGTCATCCCGTATTTAGCTGGAGTGCCTGACAAACTCTTGAAAATCTTTAACAAACATCACAACCATGTGTTTTGTAAGCCCAGAAATACATTGAAACAGAAGCATGTTTATCACCCAAAAACAATCCAAGTAACTTGGTATGTGGTATACTGTAGTGAGGACAGGGGCGGACTGACCATTTGGAAACTCGGGCACTGCCCGAGGGCCCGGGGTCAGTAGGGGGCCCCATGAGATGCCCCTGGTACCTTTTTCATAGGCTTTTCATAGGCCCCATGATTCCCTATTGCCCGGGGGCCCCATGAGTTGTCAGTCCGCCCCTGAGTGAGGAATACAAAGGCATGTACATTGGGGAAACAAAAGAACCTCTCAACAAAAGAATGACTCACATAGGAGAGCAAATTCTACAGGTCAAGACTCAACAGTCTTCCAGTGCCTTAAAGGGTAACTCCTTTTTCATAGGGAAAAAAAAAGCAAATAAAAATAATTAATATAATTATTATAATTGCTGCACAAGTACACAGTTGGTATACAAAACAACCCTGGAATTATAATTTCCTGCTTAGGTAAAGGACTCTGCTCTAAGATACAAGTCAGACTTTAGACATCCTCTGCAACAGAAATGTCATTTTTAGTGAGATGCTCCCTAAGAGTTATTCACTTCCTAAGGGATGCTTACACTGCAACTTTTCTCATCAGATTCATGAAAGTGCACCCACTGATTAAAATGAATTGGTAACTGCCATTCAGAATCAATATCTAAAAAAACCAAAGTGGAACAAACAGCTTTTTTTTCAGAGCAGATGTTTGTTAAAATCCTGGCAATGCACACTGATCACCCAAAGGGGATTGGTTTTTATTCTCAAAAAGTGTTGCTTTTTACTCTCTAAGGACTTTCTTTGGAGAATGGTGAGATGCACATTTTGGACAAGGATGGAGACAGGTTTGAAGGAGGCATGAAAGAGGCCATCTACAGGTCAGAACAGAGATGGCGGCCTTCAACATTTTATGTCTTCCACATATAAAGCCATCCTTGGCCATACCATTCTTGAATTCTTAGATAATCAACAGCTACACATTCCATTGTAGATGGATTAAGGTGGCTGTGCTACCTGTGTGGATATGAATTCTGGGGTATCTTCCTGACACTCATTGGAAGCAAAGAAGTGATTTGAAGAAGCTACAAAACATCTTCAACTTTACAGAACAAATTCAGATAAATGTGACTAGCTGCTACTAGTTGTGCTAAAATTTTTGCATACTCTAGCATAAATCATGACATTTTGGCATTGATATTAAAAATATGACAGATCATGCTAAAACACTGTCTTTTATTTAAGGATGGTGATCATATGAATCCATTTTTTATCACTTAGTTGTTCGGCTTCTTAAATCATAATGATAACAGAAGTTACCCAAATGGCACTGATCAAAAGTTTACATACCCTGGAATGCTTGGCCTCAGTACAGACACACAAGGTGACATACACAGGTTAAATTGGCAATTAAAGTTTAAGTTCCTACATCTGTGACTTTTTAAATTGCAATTAGTGGCTGTGTACAAATAGTCAATGAGTTTGTTAGCTCTCACATGGATGCACTGAGCCAGCTAGATACTGAGCCACGGGGACCAGAAAAGAATTGTCAAAATACATGCATAACAAGGTAATGGAACTTTATAAAGATGGAAAAAGATATAAAAAGATATCCAAAGCCTTGAATATGCCAGGCAATACTGTTCAATCACTTATTAAGAAGTGGAAAATTCAGGAATCGCTTGACACCAAGCCAAGGTTAGGTAGACCATGAAAGATTGCAGCCACAACTACCAGAATATTTGTTCAGGATGCAAAGAAAAACCCACACACATGTAACCTCAGGAGAAATATAGACTGCTCTGAAAAAAGATAGTGTGGTTGTTTCAAGGAGCACAACAGGATGATACTTGAACATAAATGCGCTGCATGGTTGAGTCGCCAGAAAGAAGCCCTTAATGCACCAATGCCAAAGAAAGAAAGCCCAGTTACAATATGCCTGACAACATCTTGACACAGTTTCTGGCACGCTGTAATCTGGAGTGATGAGACCAAACTACAGGTTTATGGTCACAACCATAAGCACTATGTTTGGAGTGACAAGAATACCATTCCCACTGTGAATCATGGTGGTGGCTCACTGATGCTTTGGAGGTGTGTGAGTTCTAATGGCATGGGGAATCTTGTGAAAATTAATGGCAAGCTGAATGTAGCATGTTATCGGAAAATACTGGCATACAATTTGAATACTTATGCATGTCAGCTGCGCATGGGATGCTCTTTCCAACATGACTGGAAGTGGAGTGGTCAGCACAGTCCCCTGAACTTAATATCATTGAGCCCCTCTGGAGAGATCTCAAACGTGTAGTTCATGCAAGATGACCAAAGACTTTGCATGACCTGGAGGCATTTTGCCAAGACAAATGAGCAGCTATACCGCCTGCAAAAATTTGAATATTAAGAACTTAATGTATGCAGACTTTTGAACAGGGGTCATTTCATTTTTTTTTTAGTTTGTGTGTTTTGTTTTTTGATTGTGCCTTTCTGTTATGACCTAGGGTTGAATATGAATCCCATAAGAAATAAAAGAAATGTGTTTTGCTGCTCACTCATATTTTCTTTAAAAATGACACTGTATATTACCAATTCTCTAAGGGTATGCAAACTTTTGAGCACAACTGTATACCATGACCTGAATAAAAAAGAATATTTGCCTTAATGGTACACATACTGTACGAAAAAAACAATACATTTAAATCAATTTAAACATAGCAAAATGTACAAAACTTCACATTCCCTTTAAATGCATAAAATATTCCACTTTACTGAACTCAATCTATTGTTAATGATTATGCAAGAAACAAAAACGAAAATCACACTTCTAATTATGTTTTTGTATTGCTTTGTGTTTTAACAAAATGAGCATTTTTATCATTTTCTGGCAACTTAGCTCATAGCATGCAACTTGGTAATGCTGCATGTAATTGGTAGACACAGCAATGAATGTCAGGTTAGATCTTGTATAGTTCACTGAAGATGTCTTTATACTACTACAATATGTAATTAAACAGATTTAATTGAATTATGGGATTATGATATGCACCATCTTTATCAGGAAAAAGGGAAATTTGTAACAGGGCTTTACCATATGGATTATTGTCTTTTCCAGCAGTATAAATCAAATGCAATGTTAAACAAAACTAAGATAGCACTACATGAAACTATATTGTTCACTTGGTGAAATCACTTTAGGTACCAATTTATGGAAACACACATTTTTCCATGTTAGAGCTCAATTTAAGTTTGTTCTGTTGCTGGAGAATGCTGTCTTAGTGATTCATATTGTAGCCAGATAGAACAAGGCAGGCAGACGTTGAAGATCATTCATCAATGTATCCTTGGCTCTAATAAAGTACTGCAGAATAAAATGGCTTTGGAAGCTTTTGGTCACACAGATCAGTTTGTACTTGTGCATGTTTTATAATATCAGAACAAAGAAAACCTGAGGAGCTGAGGAAATGTATACTTACAATAGCCTGCGTTATTTTTTTTTAAACCTGTTACCAAGCAAATGATAATAGTAAACTATTCTTTGACATTCTGTTCTTTATGTATGTTACTTTCTTTAATGTACCTTAACTCCTTTACCACTTCAATACTGGGCACTTTCATCCCCTTCGTGCCCAGGCCAATTTTCAGCTTTCAGCACTCTCACATTCTGATTGACAATTACTCAGGCATGCAATACTGTATCCAGGGGCGGACTGACCATTTGGAAACTTGGGCACTGCCCGAGGGCCCAGGGTCAGTAGGGGGCCCCATGAAATGCCCCTGATACCTTTTTCATAGTCTTTTTTGAGTTTGGGCAAGGACACAGGGGCCCCATGATCTCCTATTGCCTGGGGGCCCCATGAGTTGTCAGTCCACCCCTGACTGTACCCATATGAAAATGTTATCATTTTTTGAGACAGAGAGAGCTTTCTTTTGGTGGCATTTATTTCACCACTGGGGTTTTTATTTTTGCTAAATAAATGAAAAAAGACCACTGTTATAAAATGTTGCAAATAATTTTCACTGATGTGCATTGATGAGGCAGCACTGATGGGCACTGATCAGGCTGCACTGATGGGCACTGATAAGCACTGAGGCTGCACTGATGGGCGCTGATTGGCACTGATGAGGCTGCACTGATGAGGCTGCACTAATGGGCACTGATAAGCTGCACTGATGGGGCTGCACTGCTAATCATGGCACTGATTATCAGTGTAAATGCTGTACTCACTGTACTCCCAGAGATCAGCTCTCCTTTCATCGCACAATGTTTCTTGTGTGAGGAAAGGAGAGCTGATAAGAGCTGATAACCAGCAAACAGCTGTGACAGCTGTGATTGGACACTGGAAATTTTTTAAAGTCAGGTCCGCAGTATACAGAGAACCTTTGACACAGAACTGTGGTTTACTCATATATTTGCAAACAAAACCCTCTGTTCTTAAGGCAAACTGTTAGACAGGTCCAAAGTGGTTGTTTTGCAGGCTGGCTGGTAAGTTTGCTGGGAAATGCTTTGTTTGTGATGAAAATTGCCCTTCCATGTGCACCTTACTGCTAAGGCTGGTTATAGGTTGGGATGGTTGCCATTTGTTTATACAGTTTGCTGAATTGGATGCAGGGATGCACTGGATGCATTTGCTGTCCTTTTGCTATAGCTGGGTGTCATGTGTGTCCCTATATCTTTAAGGAGGGATGGGAGCCTCCAGGCACACCTGCCCTTTACCTATCCATTTATACTTCCATTGTGGAGGCTCTGGAAATTTTAGCGTTAGGTCCGCAGTATACAGAGGACCCTTGATGCGGGACTGCAGCTTATGCATGTACACTGCTCAAAAAAATAAAAGGAACACTTTTTAATCAGAGTATAGCATCAAGTCAATTAAACTCCTGAGATATTGATCTCATCAGTTAAGTAGCAGAGGGGGTTGTTAATCAGTTTTGGCTGCTTTGTTGTTAATGAAATTAACAACAGGTGCACTAGATGAGCAACAATGAGACAACCCCCAAAACAGGAATGGTTTACAGGTGGAGGCCACTGACATTTTTTTTCCCTTCTCATCTTTTCTGACCGTTTTTCACTAGTTTTTCATTTTGACTAGGGTCAGTGTCACTACTGGTAGCATGAGGCGATACCTGAACCCTACAGAGGTTGCACAGGCACTCCGACACCTCTAGGATGGCACATTAATGCGTGCCATTGCCAGAAGGTTTGCTGTGTTTCCCAGCACAGTCTCAAGAGCATGGAGGAGATTCCAGGAGACAGGCAGTTACTCTAGGAGAGCTGGACAGGGCCACAGAAGGTCCTTAACCTATCAGCAGGACCGGTATCTGCTCCTTTGTGCAAGGAGGAACGGGATGAGCCCTGCCAGAGCTCTCCAAAATGACCTCCAGCAGGCCACTGGTGTGAATGTCTCTGACCAAACAATCAGAAACAGACTTCATGAGGTTGGCCTGAGGGCCTGACGTCATCTAATGGGCCCTGTGCTCACTGCCCGGAACCATAGAGCTCGATTGGCCTTTGCCATTGAAAACCAGAATTGGCAGGTCCGCCACTGGCGCCTTGTGCTTTTCACAGATGAGAGCAGGATCACTGTGAACACATGTGACTGACGTGAAAGGGTCTGGAGAAGCCCTGGAGAACGTTATGCTGCTTGTAACATCGTTCAGCATGACCGTTTTGGTGGTGGGTCAGTGATGGTCTGGGGAGGCATATCTATGGAGGGATGCACAGACCTCTACAGGCTAGACAATGGCACCCTGACTGCCATTAGGTATCGGGATGAAATCCTTGGACCCACTGTCAGACCCTACGCTGGTGCAGTGGGTCCTGGGTTCCTCCTGGTGCATGACAATGCCTGGCCTCATATAGCGAGAGTATGTAGGCAGTTCCTGGAGGATGAAGGAATTAATACCATTGAATGGCCCCCATGCTCACCTTACCTAAATCCAATAGAACACCTTTGGGATATCATGTTTTGGTCCATCTGAGGTCTCCAGGTTGCACCTCAGACTGTCCAGAAGCTGAGAGGAAATACAAGCATGTGAGGGTCATACAAACTACTGAGTACCATTTTGAGCTGCTGCAATCAAATTTCAGCAAAATGGACTAGCCTGCTGCATAATTTTTTCACTTTGATTTTCATGGTGTCTTTGAATTAAGTCCTCTGAGGGTTGATAATTTTCATTTCCATCAAACGATGGGGCATTCTTATGTTCCTAACACATTACCCAGTCCATATCAGTATAGATATCCAGCATGATATTTTTCCCCATTGAGATCTGATGTGTTTTCAAAGTGTTCCTTTAATTCTTTGAAGGAGTGTATTTGCAAATGTGTAAAAACAAAAATCTCTGTTAAAAATAGGGCCAAATTGGCTGTTTTGCAGGCTTGCTGGTAACTGTGCTGGGAAATCCTTTGTTTGTGATGTGCATTACCCTTGCATGTGCGCCTTGCTGCTAAGGCTGGTTACAGGTTGGGATGGTTACCATTTTTTGTACAGCTGATCATATGGTAAAGGGCCTCTGTTACTGGCCCTTTACCCCAATCTGCGATCAGCTGTGTCTAAAGTACACAGCTTGTCACAGAGCATGCCCGATGCATGCCCCAGGAAAACGAGCGGGAGGCATGGATGTCCTTCCAGAACTGGAGAGCCACACTGTGGCCATGTGTTATAAATAATGGCTAACTGCAACATGAATAAAGCCAATAGCTGGAATGTGAAAATGCTTCTGATTTTGTATTGGGTAAACAGCTGCAAGAGATGCCCAGCATCTGCCCTCAAGCAACAATTTAAAGCATAAGTGATGTTTTAGTAAAGTACTAACATTTATTGGATGACATTATTAGCAAGGGATGCCCTTATTCAGCATGCCCCATTTTCCCTAAAATACAAATTTTTGGCCTGTTGGGTGCTACACAGTCTCAAAAATCTCCCTCAGGCTGGCTTTTCTACTTAGGTGCATGTGTGCGTCAATCAATATTCATTACTATGGAAAGGCTATCCTTTGTCCCAGCTTGGTTGACAGACTTATGTTAGTTTTAAAAGGAAATAATTTAGTACTGTTTTTTTTATTATTTGCGCTGACATACAATTTTCAGGACAAGCTTTTGGGGTATATCCCCTTCTTCAAGGTCCCAGCAGTCCAAGGAAAGTATGGTACATAAGACTCTAAGGGGTTTCTGAGGGAGCATGTCCAGCCCAAACAAGTATAACTTTACTAAAAGTGCAGTTATATTTGAAGTAAGGATGTGACACTACTAAGATCTTTGACATTTTATTATGCTAAAATGTGTTTGGATATTTTATAACATGCATGTGCCATATTTTATTAGCCATATTTTACTATGGCTATGCTGTGCTATCTGGCTATATGCAAATATATGCATGGAAATGCATGTCCTTTAATAATAATATATTAACCAGTTAATAATTATACATCTACAGATGTTCTCTGAAACATTTCAATGCTCTGAAGTCATCAAAGCACATGGAATAGATAAAATATCATTATTCAGTCTACTGGATAGCTATTAGGTTTCAGACAAACCATGCAGTAATATTAATTTCCTCATTATGCATATTAGTCCATTCATTTCTGCACTGCCATTGTCTCATTTCATCCATGGCATTGTAAGGGATATGAAAAAAAAAATATAATTGTCCAGCACTGTCAGCTGAGTTAAATTCAGCAGACTTTTGTAGTCAAGTAGCTTTTGCAATGCAAAGCAATAGTGGCATTGATTAAAGTATATCTCCTTGGATTATTTCAAAAATTCATGAAAAGATTTATCGTTGTTTCTACATAATACATTTCTTTAAAACTTCTTTATCTGTAATGTGCATTTAGATCTTTTGCCCTTTAAAATAAGACTTATACCTCTCCTAGAAACACAAGCACATTAATTTTAGCTGTGCAGTGAACTTATGTTTTTGTAGCAAAAGCAAAGCTGTTTTTTTTGTTATCCTGAAAAACAGAATGTTAGTGCTGATAAAAATTAGAATGTACAATATTTAAGAACAAGGACAATCATATTATTATGATTTTTTTTTTATTACTATGACCACCAGTGTAGTGAATACTTTGGAGCAGGGGCGGACTGACAACTCATGGGGCCCCCGGGCAATAGGTACCAGAGGCATCTCATGGGGCCCCCTATTGACCCTGGGCCCTCGGGCAGTGCCCGAGTTTCCAAATGGTCAGTCCGCCCCTGCTTTGGAGTAAGGTAAAAGTCTGAATCCACAACTAATCTCACTATGGAAGAGTCTGACTTTACAGGCAATACACAAACAATTAATTCGGCAATGATTATATATTACATAGATTATTCTGTTATACAACACACAAGCTTTCATAATATGTATTGCATCCAACAGGAAATGAAAAAGCATTACTTACTATCACAGGAAACAGTAGAAAGACATGCCATATTGTATGTATACAAGCACTCCATAGACATTTGTGGATTACTAGAGATGGTTGTGTCCATAGCTAATGGCAGCAAGAATACAACCACTAGATATGGATGGAGTATCTTACACCCTTTTGAAGAAAATTATTGCTTCTAAATGTATCTGCTTGCCAGTGTACAATCCTTTTTTTTGCTTTAAAAGCATTTTCTCTTTTCTCATTGCAGAATTATTACTGTTTTAAAAAAATTCTTAGGTCACCTTGTATATACTTTAAGTTTAACATCCAGATACAGTTTTCCAGTAATTGATAACAATTTAATTTAGTACAATAAAGAACATGTAACAAGGGTGCCCAAGCAGCTGTACTAATGGGACTAAATAAAGAACTGTCTTTCTGTATTGAATATTACAACCAGTCAGACTAATTAACATTCCTGTCCAGTATGAGTGAATGAAATAAAAAAAAATCTGTTAACTCTTAT